ACCAGTTAGGCCCTAAGTAACTTAGCAAGACCCTGTCTCAAAATAAATAATGAAAAGGGCTGGGAATGTGGCTCAGTGGTTAAGTTTCCCTGGGTTCAATCCTGCTACCAAAAACAAATAAAAAAATCAATGTGTTTAAACAATGTACAGTTAATGTTCATTGGCCTGAACGCAAATGAATGAAAAAAACTAAACAATTTGATGGTGGTACTTTCACATACTGCATCTGACTTTCATGAGAAAAAATTATAAATAAATAATACATCATCTCTTGCATTAAGTATCTTTAGAACTATATGGACAGCCAGCTCAATTTCCTATACCATCTATATCTACAGCAGTGTACAACAAAAATAGACATCTATAATGACGATCCTAAGGCACTGAAGAATTTTGAGAAAGTAAGAGGTCAAAGAAAAACTACATGGAGATGTATGTTGTTTATACATAAATTACTTGGAAATGCATCATCTTTACCCAAAGTAAACCAAATAATTCTTTAATATTACCATTCATTTCTCCAAGTACAGAACATAATGCATACTAAATGACCATTTACTTTATTTTCATAAATTTGACTTTTTAGTTAAAAATAAATGCATCCTTCAGAAAACTTTTATTTACTACTGATCCTAGAAATGTCTGTTTTTAATAACAGCACCCGGTTCCATTTGGAATATTTATATCAATTATCCTCATTACGAGCCAATCTTCCTCTTTTCATTTTGACATCTGTTCAAAGAAGCAGCTTGAGGAAGAACCTCACTATCAATTTCTTAACAAAATATTTCTCACTTTCTAAAGAAAGATCATCTAAATTACAATGTGTCATCATCAACTTGATCTAACACCTAGTATAGGCATGACCTTATTTCTTGCAGCCAATTCCATTGGTTTGCAATTTTCTGTCCACTTTATGAATGACTCAGAAAGGCTATGTATACATATTAGCCCATCTTACATGATAATTTTCCCACTTGGACATTGATTTAATGCAGGCTTGCTTGCAACTCTCCTATGTATCATTTTTAATGTTCCTTGGTTTACAATACAAAAAAGTTTCAGGTACTTTTAAAATTAATGAAATAAATCTAAATGTAAGTTGGAAATCAGTTCCAAATCAAATGAATGGATAGCCCAGGGTCACTAGTGGTTCTATTGTAATGATTAAACATCCCAATACAAGATTCAAAAAGTAGAAACATCTTTATAACTTAAGACAATCCAATATATGTCTTATTGTGAAGAAAATGGATCAAAACTAGAAATTCCTAGTTATTTTGTGAAGAATTGAAAATGATGGGAATAATTATAATAATGGGCATATTTATAGCATAATGAAATATTTCTTTTCCCATGGGAAGGCACACATATGCAAAACACAAAATAAGCTATCATTCATTTTTAAGGTATCTTATTAAATAATAATTTTAGAGGAGAGGATCTCCAGGCACTTTAATATAATAGATCAGTATCAACTCTTCTAGGTCTCAAAGAAATCTACTTGATCAGCAGTTTCTGTAAGAGGGTCATCAACTGCTGCCCTTGAAGCATTTTCTTTTTGTTGTATCTTGCTTGCCTGAGGCAGGGTAATAAATGGGATTTCATTCTAAAAAATAAGAGAAAAACATATTGCCAATTTTTTTCTTTGTTTGAATCAATACGTTATTTTGCATCTTTGTAATTTTATGTAATTACCTCAGCAGTCAAATAATCTTGCATTTCTTACATTCCACTGCCAAAACAATTATGACTAGAACAGGGGAAAGAATATGATATATCCCATTGATAGGTTAAAAAAGAATTATCTGGCATCTCCTCTTTTGCCTAAGTCTTAGAAACTAGTATATTCTAACCTAATTGCTTCACAGAAAGGAAGTACACCATCAGTGAGATGCCCAGATTGTCATGTGCAAAAAAAAAAAAAAAAAATGCAGCAGTGTAACTGCACAAGGCTTTGTAAGGGGGCAGGATGTGGTGCTCTACTAGGAAATAAAACAATGCAGAACCATGTAAGCTGATTTTATTAAGGAAACACTACATCTTCTTTACATCAGCTTTTTGAGAGCAAGTACCTTTAATTAGTTATCAATCAATACTTCTCTCTTTAACTGTCCCTATGAAGACAGGACATAAATAGCATGTGGTTGCATTTCATCCTCTGGGTTGGCAGGTAACTCTGACCAAGGACTGGCAGCTCACCAGGGTTGCCTGGCTCACTGTCTTCTATTCCTGTTCCCATGGGACCACCCTGCCCTTCAGCTCTACCCCTTTAGTCCAATGGGATGGTAGGAGCTGACACTGTTACATTGCGGGTCAATGAGGCTGTCCCACCAGCTTACAGTAAGAGAACTCTGCCAACTACAGAGGTGCATGCCAAAAGTTGGATGGATATTTTTTATATTGGTTTCTAGCTTCCAGATTTGGAACTTCTTTCTTCTAGGAATTAAAATGCTGGAGGCCAGGGATAGATTAAAGGAAGCAACTGAAGACAATGAGTGGACAGGGTAAACAGGTGAAAGAAACAGAAGTAGAAGGAGGCAAAAAAAAAAGGGGGGGGGGGACAAAATGTGAGTAGATCTTGAGTTTTCAGAAAATAAACACAGCTGATTAGGTATAATTGACTAGTCAACACACCATGAGGGTTTATACCTCATGAAGAGAGCCACATTATGGAACTGGCAACCTCTATAATTCCACTCTCCTTCACACTCTTCTTAGCATCACTCAGTAGCCACTACTGATGCTGTCTCTAATTGATTGGCATTATCCTGGCACAAAAGCCAAGCTCATCCGCATGCTAAAGAAATTATCCAGTCGACATTTTTTAATGTATTATGATTTATTCTTCTTACTAAAGATCTTTCTAAAGAGAAATATTTTCTCCTTATTCTTTAAGTATAAGGAAAAGCCATTTACCCAAAATGAAATAGGATTTTGAAAAATCTGAAGAACTTTAAAAGACAAATAAGTAATTGTTTTTAATTTAATTCTAAAGGTTATAATCCTAGAGTCCCACTCATGGATATGCTTGAGATGAAATTCCATTGACCCAACCTAAATTTAAGTCCCTCCCTGATACACTAGGAACTGTACAACTTATGTCACAGATCACAAAAGTCTTAGTAAACACCAAGTTTTACCCATAATGTACTATGACTTTCTCTTATTTGTGTATGTTGCTCCCGAAGACTCATACAACAAAAGTTGGATAAATGAGAAAATGTAGAGCTGCCTAAATTTCCAGGTGTTTCCTTCAGTATTATCTAATTCTCAATATCATGGCAGGGGAAGTAAGGCAAATATTATTAAACATTTTATTTTGCATTAGTGGGAATTGAACTCAGGGGCATTTTACCACTGAGCTACATTGCCAGCCAGCTATCTATCTATCTATTTATTTATTGGCGGGGTGTCACTAAATTGCCAAGGCTAGCCTCAAACCTCAAGCCTACCTCAGTGATCTTGTCATTCTCGACTCTAAAGTTCATTATATAAACTGCCTGCACAGAGTTGATAATAATTTATAAATTAAAAATAAGTGAACTACTACAACAGTGTTTTTTAGTTTGATAAGAAAATTAATAATTAAAAACATATTCTGCTTAAAACTACAGGTATTCCTAAAGAACAGGAAACCCAACATGATAGATACTGAGTCATCCTTGATTTATTCTGCTCATTATCTTTCAGACGCAATATTTTGGAATGTGCTATTCTAAACTACAAATGACAGGAAAGACTCGACTTTATTACCATCTTGTGTCTCACTCAGAAGTGAATTGCTGCTTGGAAAATAAGTGGAAACATGCAGAAGTAGCCCTAAGTAAGCTGTTATACTCGTTAAGACTTCACAAGGCATCTTGAATGGTTTGGGGTTTGATATAACTAAATTAATCCATACTCCTCAAATCAAGATATTCATCAAGTTTTTATTTCTGTATACATTTTGTGCTCTAACTAGAGCCTTAACCCCAAAACAGTTGGTGTGAAGTCACTGGGAAATCCCTGCTACCCAAAACAGTACCGCACAGAAACCTGTATGAACAGAGCAACCGGAAGGGTTACCCCTACATGCGCATCCGAATGCACGCACTCGCACCCAAAAGAAAACACACAAAATCCACTCGCTCTGTGATTTTTTTTTTCAATCTTCCAACTCGCGGACCATTTTAAGTTACTTAAGTAGCAAAAGTCCTTTTCACGTCACAGATGACTCAGGGGCTATAGTGGGGAACCCATTTTTATGTTTATCCAGGACCTCATTCTAAACACCTCTGTCCTTAAAGGCTCCACTACGCATATTCCAGCACTGGAGGCGCCGGCGATCTTCTTGGCCAGCTTCAGAATAATCGGGCACCTCCTTCTCACACCCTTCCTGCAACATTTTGCACTTTGCATGGGTCTGGTCCAGGCCTCTAGCCTCGGTTTCCCTGCCCGAAGCCAGTAAGAGACTGAGCCGTGATGAGCGTCTGGCAGAAGTGGTTTCCCCTCCAGTCCACGGAGGCTGAAGCCACTACCCTATCCCCTGGGGAGGGGTCGGAGCAGCCGAGCGGGGAGGACAACAGCTCGAGGCCGCGACTTCCAAGCCATCTCCGCAGCCCGGCGCCTTCCCGCCTCCGCCCTGGCCAAGTCCCTGGGTCCCCCGAGTACAAAGCCGGGGTACGAGTGGGAAAGGGAAGTGAGACAACAAGCGTGTACGAGGGCGTGAGTGCGGATACACACAGGGCAGGTTAGGTACGGAAAAACCCCGCCTCTCCCCGAACTCGCTCCTCGGACCAGCCTGCAGCTCCGGCACTCCAGGGCTTTCTGCGCCAGGACAAAGCTACCGTGGCCTCTCCGCGAGCGCCGGGCGCCTCGCTGGTCGCCCGGGCTCCTCGGTCTCCCTTAGCCTCGACCCAGTCCCAAAGGGATCTGAGACATCCGAGGGACGGAGGGAACTCCGGGCCGGGAGCCCCCAGTCCCGATCCCCCGCGCCCTCGCCCGGAGCCGCGACTCACCTGTTCAGCACTTTGCGGATCCTCTGGCGCACGCCAGCCCGGGAGGAAGCGGACAGGCTCCCGCCACCGCCACCGCTGCCCTCGGCCGGCAGGTTCTCTATGGTGGTCACCACATGGTTCGGCGGGGCTGGCGGTGGTGGCGGCTGCAGCTGCTGTTGTGGCGGCTCAGGGGGGATCATCTCGGCGGAGGCGGAGGCGCAGCAGCGATCAGAAGGCAGCCGGGCGCATCGTGCGCCGGCTCCGGGCCCGGGAACGCGCAGAAGACCCGGCCGAGCGGCCCCGGCCCTGGAGGCGGTGCTGCCCGTGAAGCGGAGAGGTGGGGAGGCACCAGCGGCTACAGCCGCCGCCGCCCAGTCCGCCACTCACTCCTTCCTTTCCAGTCCCAGTGAGCGCACCCTCGCTCCTGGGCCGCCGTTGCCTCGCGCCTGGCTCTTTCCGATCTGCGACCCAAGTCCAGGCACGCCCCGCGAAGTGGCTGCGATAGGTATCGCGCGGGGGCGCGGAACCGCCGGGTCTGCCTGGAGGAACCGTGTAGAGGAGGGATGGAGCTCCGGGCTTAGTTTGCTCTCCCCTTGCCTAGGTCTTCTCCGGGCGAGCGGTGGCACTTGTGTGGCGCTGCTTCAGCCTGTCCCCCGACTCAGAAAGCTGCCGTCTGTGTCTCACGGAGTGAGAGACAGAGAGTGAACCTGGAGAGCCGGGCGGGGGCGCCGCGGCGGCGGCGGCGGCGGCGGCGGCGGGGAAGGGGGGCCTGGGCGGGGAATCTGCGCGCTCTGCTCCCGCCAGAGGGCGCACCGGAGGCGCCTTATTGCCCCCGACCCTCCTCTCCCCTGGTCCACAGAGGCCCGTGGTCTAGGTCGTGGTGATTTGGGTGATTGTTTTGTCTTTGGGTCTTTGGGTTTGGGGTTTGGGGAGGGCGGACTGAGGATAGATCCTCCCTCTGTAGTTGGCGGGTTCTCGCGTTCCAGCCGTGGCGCCGCAGAATCCAGCACCACCGGCCCGGGACAGCGGCAGCACTCAGAGACAGGTGCTGGCCCCACTAGAAACACAAATTGAATATCCAAAATATTACACCTACGTTCATAATAATGGGTCTGGAGGAAATATAAGGAGAAATAACTTATTACCAAGAATCCATTCTGGGAACTGGGAAAAGCAAATTCAGCCAACCGAAAACGTGTCGGTTTGAGGCAGTACAGCACCCTGTGAAAGGAAAGTAAGCAGATTTGAGTTCCAGTAGCACTTGTGAAAGTTATTAGCAGAGAATCCTTAAGCAATTTCTTCAATTTTGAGACATTCGCCTTTGTGAAACGGGGCTACTTTTGTCTTTCTTCCAGGAATGTTGTAAGAGTAAATTGAGGTAAACCACCCAGGCAGAGAGCCAGATGATCCTTCACCTGCAAAAGGCGTATTTACTACAGAAATCTTAGCCCTGAGCAAGACCACATTTCTACCAAAAGAAAATGATTGTTCCATGTATTTCTTATACCTATTGATTCACATCCCCGTTACTAATTGATTATTAAGAGGGAGATTTTTCAAATATTCATTTATCGAGATTGCCTAGATAAGGATCTTTCAATGAAAAATTATACACATTTATAATATTTTTTCCACTTCACTCCAGTATGGGGAATTAATTGCCCTAAATTTAATAGGTATCTTTGTTCACACAGAAGCATGGTGATAGCATCCCTGTTTCTAAATACTCTGGAAGCCAGCAAATAAAAAATACTGGTCATACAATTTGCCATAAAAGGAGGTGTTGGAGAGCCAGTTGCAGCGGTGGCACAAGCCTGTAATCCCAGCGGCTCAGGAGGCTGAGGCAGGAGGATTGCAAGTTCAAAGCCAGCCGCAGCAAATTTGCAACTTAGTGAGACCCTGTCTCAAAATAAAAAATGAAAAGGGCTGGGGATGTGGCTCAGTGGGGAGCAAATATCATTCAAAATATCTTCTCAACAAAGGGAAAACAGGAGAGGGAGGGATTAAAAAAAAACGAGATTTCTCATTCAGTTAACAATATGGGAGTCCTCTTTTTATCAAGAATCTGAAGATACAGGTATCCACAAAATCTCTCCAATAGGTAGAGATTCCTGTAGCTGCAAAACCTATTTACTCCCTGAAATATACTATAATCTTCCATCAGTTATCTGAGATCTCTTTCTACAAACCTCAACTCTGATTGGAATTTTTTTCTGTTTATAATTAATATGTTGTCCCACTGTTTCTCAAGGACCTTTCATTATACTTTTCCACCTCAGGTTTGCACAGGATGCCCTGAAGAATTGCAACAAAAAGAACAAGGCTTAGAACCTATGGACATTAAAATTCCAATAGAATGTAATGAGTTTGCCCGCGGTGGACCAGCCAAAGATTGCAGACATGAACAAACTGCACTTTAACAGAACCTGGCAGCAAATCATTGTAGGAATCTCTCTATTAAAACAACACTTAAGGTAATTTCAGGTGTCTTCCTTGAATGACTGGTTGCTTCAGTGCCCTATTCCTTCACCTTTGGCTTGCTTCCCTTTGAGTGGTTTTGGCATGTCACAACTTGCTGCTGTGTCTGCACTTCAATATCTGCACTTACATCTGGTCATTTCTCTAGAGTACTACTGAATCCAAATGATCTAAATCTCCACTAGGTTAGGAAGGAATCAAATGAAGAGGAGAGAAGAACAAAATGAGAAATATAAATTTTTAGTTCTACTGGTAAGGGGGAAAAAATATCTCAAAGCAGTCTCAAGCCTTGTGTTTTTATTATTCCAATTTGTAAGGAGGTACATCATCATATCTCTTCTTCCCCTCAGATTCTGTGTTTCATGTTCATCCCTTAAGTAGCTAAGTATCATTTGAGAGGTAGGGAAACTGGTGTCAAAAGTACAAGTTTCATAGTAGTATGTTTAACATAGAATTAAACAGAAAAGATATGGGGAAGGCTTTTTTCCCCTTTTTCATGCTATAAGTGTCTTGTTTGTCTCCTTGACCTTAAAATCCATCCTCCATGAACTCTTATCAAAAGGAGAGGAAATAAAGATAATAAGTCAAAGATCTAGATACAGTACTATAGTGGTGGCAGGTGGGTTCCAACATCACACTGCTTAGCTGACATCTCCCTGACCAGTTAGTGGCATGATGTTATTGCAAATTTTTCATTCCATGGAGTTTTTGCACTTATACTGTTATATTGCCTAAGTATCTCTTAAGACACACTAGTTTTGTCAGATTCCTTAAGGAAACAGAAGTTGGCTACCAGCTACACCTTGTTCAGTGTTGCTCATTTTGAAGACTTATGCAGGGAAGTGTAAAATCTGGCCTCAGTTTCAGGACTTAGAGTCATCTGGCATTTTGACTAATTTGTTTAGTATAGGCTGCACCTGTGCGTTATATTGAGAAAAGCTTCAAAGTGATGACCCAAAGTGACTGATGATCCTCCCCAAATTGCTGAACAGTTGCCTGGAATTTCTTGTGCTGCTGCAAATGCCCAGTGGCCCATATGCTTTCTCTGAGTCACTCTCTTAATATCTTTCTGTCTCTCCTAAGTCTGATGGAATCTATTTCACACATACTGCTAAATATATGACATCTAGAATGATACAGCTTCATGGTTTTGATTCACATAAGTGAACTCATTTAGGATAGAAGAAAGCTAAGCAAAACACATAGGAAATTTGTGAAGAAAGGAAAAAGAAGTGGATTAGATTGGGTATGTCTTTACATTTACATCCTAGAAATGAAAAAAATCATTGGGACATCAAAGCATAGAAGTTCAGTGAGCACTTACCATCACAGTCTGCAAGTGGTATTAGTGGATATGAATAATATGCACAAAGCAGGGAAATGGACATTGGGCAACAGGTTTCAAAGACCATTCACATTGTACACTATGTTTCTGCTTGCTATGTAATTCTTTGTGTTACAGTTTGGAAACAGTCCTTTGTTGTATTCAGAATACTGTTTATAGGTTATAATTGACCTTTCATGCTCAGAGCAATGAGGGTTAGAGAAGGAGATTAGTGTTAGTTGTTGTGAATAAGGGCTAATTTTGTAGGGTCAGACTACATTTTGATAGGTTTAAAATGTCTAAGTATTATTTGCAAAGTGTTTCTTTCCAAAAGCATAGTAAGGTAAATCTTAGACATAGTGATGCAATAAATCTCTGTCAACAGAAAATTTTCCATATTCAGCTGACTCAGTAGTATCAGTTTCTCTAAGTGATAAGAATTATTTTAATATACCAATACATTGGCAAAAGTATCTGTGGAGGGCTGGGTTTGTAGCTCAGTGGTAGGGCACTTTCCTAACATGAGCCAGGACCTGGGTTCAATCTCTAGCAGCATTGAAAAAGAAGGAGGAGAAGAGGTAGAACAGGAAAAGAAAGGAAGGAAGGGGGGAGAGAGGGAGGGAGGAAGGAAAGAAAATACATCTATTGATGGCACCCCATAATCTATTTTAAATACTATAATCGGTCATCAGTTAGGAATAGGGAAGCAAAATTCTTGTACAAATGTCAGTTATCATTTTCAGCTGCTAATTTAACATACTGTCCCTCTAAAATATTTAATCAATAGAAATAATATTAATGTAAAATTTGGGGTAAAATTATAGTAACTCTTGTGCATAATTTATGTGCTGATTTAGTGGCTAGTAGATAGAATGTTATAATAGAAATTGGAACCTAAGTAATCTCAGTTGCAATTCCAGTTACATTAACTGGATGTATTATTTTTGGATAATTCTCTTAAATTTTGAGCATGTTTTCTAATCTACAAGAATGAGGATAATTTTTTTTATTATTCAGGATGTATGCAGACTATCAATAATACATGTAAAGAATTTGACATAAAAGTTATATTTAAAAAAATAATTGACTTGGACCTAAACATGATGAAGTGGCTGATACTACAATAATCCTTTCCCCAAGAACAGTGCTAAAAGCTGGACAAAATATTGAACAGTAGTCAATGCAAGACTATGATCCTTTAGGGAAAGGAAATATAAGAAATGGAGCACATTAGATGAGCCCCGTGTTTATCCCATGTGTCTCCCTCAGAGCATTTTCCAAACCACAGTAGAGAGAAATAGAGTGGCCATCTCACTGGACAGAAGAGGCAAAAATGGAAGTTCAGAACTACAGCTTGGATTTGGTGGGCTGAATTACTGCCAAATTTTGAAAAAAAAAATTGTAGGAGAAATAAGCTAAAAAACAATCCCCCTCAAACCCAACTACTAAGCTATATCTGTGCAACGCAAGACTCTGAGAAATCTAGCAAAGAAAACTACTACCCAAGAGATGTCAGAGGCAGCACAGTGCTGGAAGAGATAAAGATTGGCATTTAGGTCTAGCTATTAAAGAAAATTGGAAAGCCACAGACATTTGGTTGAGACTTAAAAAAAAAAAAAAAAAAGTCATATCTTGCCTTTCCGGCAAGATTTATCTTATCTTATTTTTTTTTTTCCATACTCCAGATGGAAAAAAAAAGTTAGGGTGAAAAATGAGTAATGATCTACATATAACAGGGATTAGAAAATTCTTTTCTGAAAATGCTAAGTAAATATTCTAGGCTTTGTAGGCCATACAGTGCCTATTGCAACTACTCTGTTACAACTTCCCTGCTGTTATATGTGAATATTGCCATAGACAACAGGTAAATGAATGACTGTGGTCCTGTTTCAAATAAAATTTTATTTATTGATAGACATTGAA